TCCCTTCTTCCCATGTCTCATTTTTTATCTATAAACAAAGCTATAAAACCTGGCCTTTTCAAATTTTGATGATATCCAAAATACGTCCCTTCACCTCAGAGAATTAAATTATAGTGTTCTTCCAATCTCCTTTGTTCTCATTGTGCCTTGCAATGGGTTGGGCCTCCTAGCACTATACTACTCTTAATTAATCTCTCAATTGGTATTCAATGATCTTTTGCTCTTAAACACAAACCATTCCTCTTTTATTGTGGGAAATGCATACTACAAATGAAGTACAATCAGTGCAGCTAATTGGGCTTTGAGTCCTTTTGGAGTTTAGTCAGTTGGTGCTACCATCAAGTAAAAACTTGCTATTCAAAATCAACCTTGTCAATAGCAATGAAGCACTGGGTTAAAAAGGAACTGAAATGTTTTGCTAAAATTATAAACAACTGAGGAAATTTCTCAGGGGACTATCGATTATCCCACTGTTCAGGTAGTCCTTGACTTACACCCATTTGTTTAGTGACTGTTCAACGTTACAACAGTACCAAAAACAGGTAACTTATAACCATTTTTCACACTTACAACTGCTGCAGCATCCTCATTTTCACGTGATCAAAATTTGGACAACTGGCACGTATTTGTTGCAATGTCCAGGATCCTTTCATCACTTTTTTGCAACCTTCTGACAAAGTCAATGGGGAAGCCAGATTCACTTAATCATGTTATTAACTTAACTGCAGAGTTTCACCTAACAACTGTCTTGCTTAGCAACAAAAATGTTGGCTCAACTGTGATTGCAAATTGATTACCTGTTTTCTTTATTGGATTAGCAACCTCCAGAAGAAAGCAAAAAGTTATAATATTGAGATTACATCTCAGTCAAAAACACAAGAGAGGAATGAAGCTTAAGCAAAATGATTAGATGTTCGCAGGTTGGAATAAAGTCATTAGCTCTTTCACATGATTTATTGAGGGGCTTTCCCCCTTTTACTAGTACCAGCAATTATACAAGAATTAGGTACTATTAACCGCAGCACCCATTTTTATTTTGCTTTATTTTGTAGACTGCTTAGACAATTGCAGTTTACAAAGTAATTAATAGTATAACAAATAAACAACTCAAAATTGCTATGCCTGACATCAGACAGACACGCACCACTTTAAAAAAAAAAGAGGCATAATGAACATCTGACAAGGTTATTACAAAGGGAAGCAACTGAGGAAGTGATCCTGCTGAACAAGCAGTCCCAGGGCAGACCAAGAAGCTCAGGCAGAGACAGGTACTCATTTGCCTTGAAAATAATGGTTGCCTGGGAAGAAAATGGGCTGAAGGTAGCACATACCTGAGACCTGTTGTGTCGCATGACAAAAAAAACTTAGCTTTTTTAGCCCAGCCAGTTCTCCAGATGTACCCCAAAGTAGCTATCAAATTGCCAATGTACACAGAGGTGATGTCCATGTGTCAAAAGGTTAAATTATATTTGACACACAACTGTAATCACACATTGCAACTTAAATACTAGTGGAAATGCGGGGAAATCTAAGGTTTACGATGCAGCAATCTTGCTGAAGCTAACTAAGCAGGTTCAGGATTGGCCATCCTTTGTTCCATAAGTGGACAGCAAAAATATCAACGAAGAAGTACGTAAAATCCCCCAGGAATACACACAGAACGGCACTGACCATATCTCTAACTCAGCTGATTGTATTCACATACTTAAAAAGCTGACTTGAGAAGCAAAATGGAGGCAAGGGCATTCTTCTCTCTGTGGGACCTCAAATATATTCCCAAACCAACACCTGGCTGAGGAACATGACTGCAGAAACACTCACTCACCACTTGATGAAAACAGCTGAAAAAAAGACAAGGCCCTCCCTATTCTTCATTCTTCCCCTCTGCTACTTTCTTCCAACTGAAACAATATCAACAGCTTAAGTCGCACATCTAAATGTAATGAGATCCTCTGGCCCCAAGTCATTGCTAAAAACAGTTTGATTTAAACAGAAAAGGATATTGGAGGAGAATATGAGTATGGAGAGGCAGCCACATTTGGAAGCACATTGAAAATGACGAGATCCACACGTGTGCATACAGACACACACATACAGACAGAGAGAGAGAGACAGAAGAGAGAGAGAGAGAGGAGAGACTATCTGTCTGGTACAACCACGTCTGTCTTACAAAACTATCAGCCTCAGGCATCGAAACACTGTTTTGCTTCATCTTCAATCCACCACAGTTTTGTCATTATGAGATTTAATATTCTTTGTTGTCCTACCTAGAATACTCAGGGAAGCATATGAGCTTTTTATAAGGCCTTTTGATTATATTCCAGCTGTTTCCTAAGTCATTTGGTTTTCCTCCAAACAATTAGAATAATTTATACTCTAAAAGGAAGCTTTAGTATCAGCCCTATTTCTGGGCTTATTATGAGGAGAAGGAGTGGAAAATGGGTGGGATTCAGCTGGTACAGACCAGTTCGGGCAAATTGGTAGATCCAGCAATCAGTTGGCTCTGCCTACCTGCTACTGCACTAGTCTGTCCTATATTTCCTTTCTTTGAAAGCCAAGCTGATAGGCGCGGCAGAGCAGATTGCCATGCCTGATTTTACTCACCGGGGCTGCACTAGAAGGTAAGTTTCAGAGCTGTTTTCAAATGCACCCCGCTTGTGAGCTCACCAAACCAGTTGTTACACTGGTAGAATCCCACCATTGGTAGAAAGTCTAAGCTGTGTAGTAGAAGAAGAGATTTCTGGGTATGGATGATCCAAGCCTCTTTCTTTGCTCTGACTCTCTGTGTCAACTCATAAAATATTTCTCTGGTCTCATGATGAGTTTCATGCAGAAAACCCAACCAAGCCTGGGGGTGGTTCGCAACCCTAAGTCCTACACCTGCAATAAATTTATGTTGTACAGGTCACCTTCAAGAAGTGAGGGGAGCCAAATGTCAACTCATAAAATATTTCTCTGGTCTTTTAAAGTTGCCAACAGAAAGGGAGCAGGGAGTAGCGTAGCAGCTTGCAAAACCCAAACTGCATTCCATAAATGTTTTCATAGATAGTTTCCAGGCAACCAAAGTTTCTGCCCTGCAAAATTCTAACTGGAGAGTAAGACTTTGTCTATGCATATGTCCCATTGGAAAATATGAATTATGATATACCCAGGGGGTGGGGAAAACCAGGGTCAAGGGTGACAATGAATGATATGTCTCAGAGTCAGCTACACCCAGGCAGCACAAGCATGTCTTCTCCTAATAAATCTTCTTTAAGCTTCGAAAATCTGGCTAGAGACTCATGATTTAAATGGGGGTAACTACCGGAGCCCTGACACTCTGAGGAATAACAAGGGTGAGACTCAGGGCTTATAAAGTTCATAGGGTCTAACAGACACTGGTGTATCTTCCTCAGTGAAAATGCATATCATGATACTGCCAGGTCTATTCAGGTAGCCATGGGTAAACTATAGGTAGTCCTTGACTTATAACCATTCATTTAATGGCAGTTTAAAGTTACAGCAGCACTGAAAAAAATGAAGGCTGGCATGCCTTCATGTGGGATGGAAAATCTAAACAATATTCATATTTCCAAAGGCACCATGTAAGAAATGGGTTGTTCAATATCTGGGGAAAGATTTAAAAAAAACTACTACCCAAAGGTTCCACTGTGGCTATCTACATTGGAAGCAGTCACATATCCAAATCTATTGGATTATGAAAATATTGTCAGGTATAAAGATTTACTATATGACACTGGAGAGCTTAAAAATAGGAACCAAATACAAATTCAAGGAAAGGAGATAGCATGGTGGCCCTTTGCACAAATACAAACCCATTATAAAAAGATAGAGAACAATTTGGCTTTAATATGACCCCACAAAGAATTAGATAAAATATGGCTAAGAGAGGAAAAGAAAACAATTAGTAAAACATATAAATATCTTTTGGATTGCAAATTAAAAGAAGAAATAGTCACAGAATCTATGATAATTTGGGCTAAAAACGTGGGTCATAGTATTGAATTAGATAAGTGGAAACACATCTGGCAAACAAATTACAAATTAACCATGTCAGTCTCGTATAAAGAAAATTTATACAAAATGGTTCATCGCTGGCACCTACCTCCTGCGAGACTGGCTAAGATGTTCCCCAACCTACCACCCAACTGTTGGAAATGTAACTATGCACAAGGAACATGTTTTCACATATGGTGCTCATGTGCTCAGAAGTTTTGGAGGAATATTAGAAATTGGATTTTAAATATAACAAAACAAAATTTAAAACATGAACCCGAAACCTTTCTGCTAAGTATGATAAATTTAAACATGGAGAAAAAATATCAATATTTAATTTTGCACATTATAACTGCGGCCAGAATAATCTATGCACAAAACTGGAAACTGTCTTTCATTCCTTCAGAGGATATGGTAATTAAAATATACATGAATGTGCTGAGATGGATAGCCTAACCAAATTGTTAAAAAATAAACAAGATAGTGACTATTATGAAATATGGAACATTTGGTATGATTGGTTAAAGAAAAGGTAATATTTGATATTTGGATAAGTTATGGAAATGACAGAAGACATGCATTTAATTATAAACTATATAGAGAAATTAAATCATTAAAAGAACGAAGGAGATATTGTAACAAGGCAGATCACGTCAATGATAAAGATAAAGAAATAAAATTAACCATTGCTCAATATATGCTGTAAAATGTATATATGTATGCATGTATGTATGTATGTGTGTATATGTATATATATGTGTGTGTGTTGATTTGTCTGTTTTAATTGTATGTCAAATAAATGTTTTTTTCTAGAATAAAAAAAATTTAAAAAAAGATTTATGACTAGTTTTTAGTTATGATCATTGAAGCATCCCCAAAGAATCATGTGATCAAACTTTCGGGGCTTGAAAGCCAGGTATTTTACAATGATTGCAGCATCCTGGGATTGTTATTTGCAACCTTCTTAAGGAGTTTCTGGCAAGCAAAGTCAATGGGGGGAATCAAATCTGCTTAACAACTGCATGATTCACTTAAAAAAATTATTGATTTCTGAAAACAAAAAGGTCATAAAATGGGGCACAACTCATTTAACAACTATCTTGCTTTACAACAGAAATTTTGGACTCAATTGTAACATGATCCCTGTAAAAGTTCTCTGGCAATGGCATATTGTACCATCCTTCAGGAACCACAAAAGTATTTGTCAGTGGGAATCCTACTGGAGAACCATGTAATGTCTTGCTTGCCACCCACATCACCAGTGAACTTAATATTTCCACAGAAAATTGAAATTCCAGCTTCCCACTTTAACTATATGGATCAGCTACAGTGGCACAGTGGTTAGAGTGCAGTACTACAGGCTACTTCTGCTGACTGCCAGCTGCCTGCAATTTGGCAGTTCAAATCTCATCAGGCTCAGGATTGACTCAGACTTCCATCCTTGCAAGGTGGGTAAAATGAGGACCCAGATTGTTGGGGGCAAGAGGCTGACTCTGTAAACTGCCTAGGGAGGGCTGTAAAGCACTGTAAAGCAGCATATAAGTCTAAGTGTTATTGCTATTGTTCAGAAATGGCCTCTGGTTCTGTGATCACAGGCATGCTTTTGTTCTTCTACGCTTTCAAATTGAGTTTCAGATAACAGATAATCAGAGATGGAACGGACCTTGTAGGTCATCAAACCATCCCCCTGCCCAAGCAGGAGATCCTACATCATTTCTGACAAATGGCAGTCCAATCTCTTCTTGAAAGTCTCAACTGATGGCGCTCCCACAACTTCTAAAGTCAAGCTGTTCCATGGGTTGATTGTTCTTACTGTCAGAAAGTTTCTCCTTATTTCCAGATTAAATCTCTCCTTGTTCAATTTCCATCCATTATTCCTTGTCTGGCCTAAATGTGCTTTAGAAAATAGGTTGACCCCTTCCTCTCTGTGGCAGCCCCTCAATTATTGGAAGACTGTAATCATGTCTCCCATGGTCCTTCTCTTCATTAGGGTAGCGATGTCCAGTTCCTGTAACCGTTCTTTATATGTTTTTTTCATATGTTTTACGGCTACTTGCTTTCTCCTATGTGTTTAATCATGATGTTTCTTTTACCACCTGCTTTAAGATTCTTTATATACAAGAAGTAGGTACAACAAATATCTAACGCAAGATGGGTCTTGTTGCTGATGATGATATTGCTAATAACAAGACACCAAGCCTACACGAACTGGTAGGTTAGTCATTGAAGTACTCAAAAATGACTAAAAATATTAGCCCTCGAATATCAAAAATTCTAGGAATTTTTTTTTTGCAAGGACTATAAACATGAATTACACTGTGCCTTGGCCACCCATTATGTCTTTATTCAAGTAAAGAATGAAGAACATTGCATAGAAAAATGTTCTCTAGCTTTTTGGCCCACAGCAAACAAACACCAAGAAAGTTCCTTCACCCCACTGCTGGAGTTAGCAAGACATCATCTCTCCAAAGTCTCTGGCCTGTAGCAAAAGCAAAGCAAAGAAGCAGGAAAACTTTCAACCTCCTCTTCCAAGCCACTTCACATTCTAAAGGTGACCTAGACGCATTTACAAAGTAGCTGATGATGATGCTTGCCTAGTCTTGCTTTGCTGAGCCAAATAGATGTCCTTGTGTGGCTGCAAAACAGCAGCCAGCTTCTGTTTGAACTGAAGACTGATCTCTATATCAAAGGTCGAATTCAAACACCCTGTCTGCCACACGGTAGGATCTCAGCCAGTTTCTTACCGGAGAAAGATTTGGATGAAGAATCTTTTCCTCTTTCTTCTCTACTTCTTTCTCAGCTCCTCCAATTCTTCTTCAATGAGGTCTTTCTGGTTGGAATGGAGGTCTTCCACCTCAAGTAGCATATCTTCATGGCTTTCTCTACAAATGCTGGTGATCACTTCACCCTTCACCCATGAAAACAGGTGCAGCAGACGGGGACTGTTCTGCGACACCTTTTTCCACATTGATCTCTGCAAAAGCTGCTGCAATAATTTCAACTTGCAATGTTGTAGCCCCTTCAGAAATCCCTTGGTGACAGAGAAGAATCTTCTATGTGATCCAATTTAATGTTGAAGGTATGGTAGGTGTAGTATGACTTGAAAGTCACCATGTTCCTTGTATGGAGGTAGTGTTGTCTAGTGGGCAGGAGCAGGCAGGCTAAAGAAGGACCAGAGACATTGTCAAGCAACAGCAGGGCTTTGATAGCAAATTGAAGACAAGTTACTTTTGCATTTTTATAGACAGCAGCTGTTGATGCATTCAGAGAAAAGGGCTGCAGTTTGTCTCCTATTGACTCTCCAGATGCATGTATTGTGTTTAATGAGCTTGGAACACAGGTTTAATGGAATGATACTCTGGTTCATCTATTATGAAACCAATGAGATCTTCAACCTAGAACAGTGGTGGCTAACCCTTTTGGGCTCCCGTGCTGAAAATTGCACTTGCATGCCAGCACCCAGAAAGCAATGTGCATTTCCCCCTGCGCATGCACACGCAATCCCCCCGCTGCCCCCTTACCTGCACTCCACATGCGCACGCCTCCCAGCTGATTTTCGGCCCGTTTGAGGCCTTTTCGGCCTCCCAGAGGCTCGAGGGAAGCTTCTGTAGCCTTTGGAGGCCGAAAAATGGGCCCATTTTGTCACTTCCTGTATTTCTGGAAATACAGGAAGTGACAAAACGGATGTATAGATCATTGAAAGAGGATACTCATGATGTAACTTTATGGAAAGAAGTACATTTATAACTATAATTTCTGAAAGAAGATTGGAAGTCACTTCTTTGTGTCTTTCTTTCTTTCTTTTCTATTTTTCTTTTTCTTTTTGCATTTTAAAGCATTTATTTTTATTTTTTTCTTCCTTACTTTATATTAATTTGCATGAGTTTTTGCCTTAAAAAAAACATTTTAACATAATTAATAATTTTAAAAATTGGGACAGGACTCAGCAAATGTTTGACATCAGAATTTAGAACTAGATTCAAAACCCAGTAAAAGATTACAGCTTGCCTTTAAAATGTATATTTGATTATCTGTTCAAAGTAGTAAAAAAGTCTATCTTTAGGAAAATTAAAAATCAATAGTGATATTAAAACCTACATTCTTTTTCTCAATTCCCTCCCATTGCAACCAAAAATCAACCAAATTACAATATATGTTTCTCAAAACTCCAATACTGTTTCAATATGCCATGCTAAATATATCCTAAGAATTTAAGATATTATCTTAATTAAGAATCACTCACATTCAAAAAACAAGATTTATTTTCTGACAAACTCCATCAAAACTTCTTGGCCAACCACATTTAGCAAATGGAAAGGAACAGGCACATTATGGAATCAAATTGCTCTATTGACTGTTTTTGGCAGAGAAACACTATAGCCCCGCTTTCTCTATATTTATTTTCTCTTCACTAGTAAGACAGATTTTTTTGCTGAAACACAACAAAATGGATTAATTATGTGAATATAAGCATTAATGTGCAGCACATATCTGACAATACCCAAAAGCTGATGTAATGTAGTCACTCATGTGTTTATAGTCTACTGAAGAACAAGTACTTACATGTTTGTCCCTTTTTAAAGACAGGAAAGTTTTACTACAGTTTGATGCCATAAATGCTTTTGCATGCAGCTCCATAAATAATGAAACATGAGCTAAACCAGCATGTAATAGCTTTACTTCATTTTACATAATTAGCCTCTGTGACTAGAGTTAAGTCTAACTTATAGCAGTTTCTTATATATTTGTTTAAGTGTGCAGGTCCCAATTAGTCACACTACCATTACTAGCTGGTAGCGCAACCAAGTCTGCCTTGGCCAAAGATTCTGCTTCTGCCTGAATTTGGACTTGTGCACAAGGATTTGACTCAATTGCAGAACAAGCCCCTCATCGCTCCGTATCCACTTCTATGAAATGCAGGACAGTTTCTCAGCTCATAGATGTGAAAAAGAAAGAACAGGGGAAACATCTGACGAGCGCTCTGCATCGGAGGCAGAGATGGGGCCATGGCCATGTGAAAGTTATCAGCTGCCTTCGGAGTCAGACATCAGTGAGTCAGAAGAACAGCTGGAGTCTGTTCCCAGTGTGTGCACGTGCAGAGTTGCCAGAAGAAGGGAACAGCTAAGGAACAAGGGTCGATTTGGGAGTAAAGCCACCGGTGGACGGTGAATGGCCCCTCCCATAAAAGAGGAGCGAAAGGGGAGTGCAGGAGACAATTAATTCATTCCTGCATTCTTGCCAAGTATTGCTCTGCCTGAAAGATATCAGCCTGGCCACTCCCCAAGCCTGCTAAAGGTCTGCAATTGTGAACTATCTTAAAAGACTGCTGGCTGGGACTTTGTTGGAGAGGAATTCATTGCAAATTAAATAAAAGGGTTTTATCAGGATGAGGATTTGGCTTTGTGCTGTTGGGGAAGCCTAAGTCAGAACATTTTGTTCCATATAGTATCGACCTTGTGAACTGTCAAGTTTTCTCTTTCCACTATGTATTCAAAATGGACAGTGATTAATCTATATGTATGGGTGTAGGTACATACAGTATGTATTTAGCATATGCATATGTGTGTTAGGTATGTGTATGGGTAGACATATACTTTCTTTTGAGAGCAGGCAACAGAACTTCATTTTTTAATGTGTGCAAGCATGTGATCGCAGTAAAAAATGACAATAAAGATTATCTTTATCTAAAGTCTTTCCTCTGGACCACAGCACAGGATGATGATGTCATGACAAAATGGATGCAAAGTGTATCACTTGCACCATTTATGGAATTAAGGTATTTGTGATACAAATAAAAACAAGCTTTGATAGCTTTATTGTGGCTGCCAACTTGAATTTTTTTAACCATACTCTGCAGATAAACACAGAAAACAATGTCACAATATGCATCATGTCATTGTATAATTTACAGAACACCTCTGGCTGTACAGGTTGAGCCCAACATTTCTGCTGCTAAGCTAAACATTTGTTAAGTGAATTTTGCCCCATTTTACAACCTTTCTTGCTGTTGTTGTTAAGTGAATCACCAAGCAGTTGTTAAGTTTAGTAACAGGGTTATTAAATGTATCTGGTTTCTCCATTGACTTGGCTTGACAGGAGGTCACAGTTGCATGACTCCAAGGCACTGCAACTGTCATAAACATGAGTCAGTTGCCAAGCATCTGAATGTTGATCACATGACCATCACATACACCGGTTGTGTGAAAAATGGTCATAAGTCACTTTTTTCAGTGCCGTTGTAACTTCGAACAGTTACTAAATAAACTGTTGTAAATCAAAGACTACCTATATATGTTTGGGAAGCAACCATTTTAAATTATAGGGCTCTGTAAACTGTCAAAATGTGAAATTATCAGCTATGTCGCACTTGAAAATTCAGAGAGTTGTGGATATTTAACCATTCTAAAACTCTGTGCATCTACTCTCAGCCAAGGGCACCTCACAGGGTTCTTGTGGGGAACATAGGAGGAGGAGGGTGTTTTGGATATGTTCTCTACCTTGAGTTATTGTAAACACAATAAAGACAGGATACAAATAAATAAAAATCTAGGAATAAGCAAAGATACTATGCAACAAATCCCTGCATTTTACACTGGATATAGATTCACAATATGCCTCAATTTGATAAAATGGAGTAAACTTTGTGCGCTAAGCTATTTTTTTCACAGAGATTTTCTAATAGCATTTTTTTCAGAATCTTTACAATGAGTGAACTGGCTCATATCTATCACTCCAATTTCACAATTTATATCTTCCCATCTTACATAGTCCCAGTTCTTCACTCTTCTCATTTATGGAATGTGTTTGGGTTCTCTCAATCTAAGAAATGCTTTCGGGGAGGGGAAAAATTTGAAGATTCTCCTGAGCACAAAAACACTCCACATCTGTTACATAATCTGCCAGGTGCATGAAATCTGGCAGAAGCATTAATTCATCCAGATGCTACAGCATAGATTACCCTGGATCATCTGGGAGAACATCCTCTCTGCATCACAAAAACAACTATTAATGAAGTAAGTTTTAACTGTAAGAGGTTCAGTGCATTCCAATTCACAACTGTTTCCAAGTTTCAGAACTGGAGATGCTGCTTTCATGAGTAGTAGTTGTACTTCCCTCACTTTGGGGCTAATGGAGGAATAGAAAAAACTCACACACAGCCTTGTATGTTTCCTCAATATTTTGCTTATCCTAGTACAGGGGTGGGGTTCTACCAGTTTGCACCAGTTCAGGCAGAGGTGGTATTCAGCAGGTTCTGACCAGTGTCTGGAGAACCGGTAGTGGAAATTTTGAGTAGTTCAGAGAACCGGCAAATACCACTTCTGACTGGAGATTTTACAGTATCCTTCCCCTGCCACGCCCACCAAGCCATGCCCACAGAATCGTTAGTAAAAAAATTTGAACCCCACCACTGGGTTCAGACGAACCCCTTGCTCCGAAGATCAGCTGACAATGAACTGATTCACTATGCCAAGCATGTGGGCCCGCTTGCCCGCCTCTGCTTTTTCCTGTGCCTCATTTCCTTTTTTTTAGAGCACAGCTGATTCACACAGCAGAGCAGTTTGCCGTGCCTCAGCTGTTTTATTCACAGGGGCTGCAATTGAAGGTAAGCATTAGAGCTTTCTTAAACACGGAGCGCGTGCGAAGTGTGTGTGAGTGTGCAAAGCGTGCAATCACTGAACCGGTTGTTATACCTGTGGAATCTATCAGAGTATATTCATGAACTGGAATAGAGCATGGTAACAAGGTCAGCCAGTGAATAGGCATAGCAACTAAGTCAGCCAATGAGGACTGTTTGGCAACTGAAACTAGAAATAGCCAAGGCGTGGCTCTATATTAAGCTCTGCAGCACTGAAGTTCTGAGTATTGAAAATGAAACTGCTTCTCTCCTCTGCTTGCCTGCAGAACTAAAGTGAAGCTGATGTCTGTTTCTGAGCTCCTGAGTTGCTGTTCTGCTCTGAACCTGTAACATGTCTGCTTCTGTTTGAGTTTGCTCCATGCTGAAAAAAATCTACAACTAGTATTGTAAAATTTACTTTATGTGTTTATAAAGAAATTAAATGAAGCCTCAGCCATCTGTGTTTACTTTTCTGATGCTGAATTTACTCTGCAATACTCTGAACCGCTGCCCTAATATTTCAATAATTGGCTAATTAGGGGGAGAGCAGCAAATGAAATTTCATTAGGGCCCACCTTTAATATAAATCTTATCCAGGTCTAAACCTTGAAACTCTGACTACAAATTCCTGACAGACACAATTCAGAGAACGTTTGTCACGCAGGAGATCACTTCCGTGCCTGGGAAACCGATGTACACTAATCTTACATGTATGAAAGAGGATTAAAAGAGCCCAGGTCCACTTAGTCCTGCATTTTGTTTCTCATGGAAGCAGTCAGATGTTCACCAGGAGGAAATGGGGACAACCCCCGTCTCCCTGCAGAAGTAACATTAAGCTTTCAAGACAAATACAGGTAGTCCTCGACTTACAACAGTTCGTTCAGTTACCGTTCAAAAGTACAACAGCCCTGAAAAAAGTGACAGATGACCATTTTTCACAGTTTCAACTTTTGCAGCACCCCCATGGTCATGTGATCAAAATTCAGCCGCTGGGGAGTTGGCTCATATTTATGACCGTTGCAGTGTCCCAGGGTCACGTGATCCCCTTTTATGACGTTCTGACAAGCAAAGTCAATGGGGAAACCAGATTCATATAACAGCCAGGCGACTAACCTATCAACTGCAGTGATTCATTTAACAATTGTGGCAAGAAATGTTGTAAAAAGGGGCAAATCTTACTTAACGAATGTCTCACTTCACAACAAAAATTTCACACTCAATTGTGGCCGTAAGTAGAGGACTACCTGTAATCCTTGATGGACTGGTCTTCCACGAATCTATCCAATCCCTTTTGAATCATCCAAGTTAATAGAATAACAGGATTGGAAGGGACCTTGGAGGTCTTCTAGTCCAACCCCCTCCTTAGGAAGGAAACCCTACAGCATTTCAGACAAATGGTTATCCAATCTCGTCTTGAAAACTTCCAGTGTTGGAGCATTCACAACTTCTCAACATTGTCAAACCATTTACAAAGTCCGCACTAGTATTACTGTTAATCTTCTCATCACCCCTTATCACCCATCCCCTCCCACTTGTGACTGTATTATTGTAACTTTGTCGCTTATATCCTTAAGATTTATATTGACTGTTTCCTAGTATGATTTGATTGCTTATGACTATTATTAAGTGTTGTACCTGATGATTCTTGACTCTTGACAAATTTTAATGTACACTGAGAGCATTTGCACCAAGACAAATTCCTCGTGTGTCCAATCACACTTGGCCAATAAAGAATTCTATTCTATTCTATTCTATTCTATTCTATTCTATTCTATTCTATTCTATTCTACTCTACTCTACTCTACTCTACTCTACTCTACTCTACTCTACTCTAATCCATTCTATTCTTCTGGAGGCAAATGGTTCCACTGATTAATTGTTCTGTGAGGTAATTTCTCCTTAGTGGCCACTGCCATGTCCTCTTGTGTGAACAAATTCCATAAGCTAATTATGCAGTGTTACATAACTGCTTTCTTTGGTCGATTTTAAAAGTGTTTCATTTTCACTGAAAGATCTGATACAGGTAGTCCTTGATTTACGAAAGTTCATTCTTTTTCAAGCAACAGAACTATACATAGTATTCCAAATGCAGAGGCCACACAGATTTGTACAAAGACATTATACTGTGATGTTAGTATCTTTATTTTCGGTTCCAATGCTAGGGATCCCTAGCATTGAATTTGTTTTTTCCCCAGCTGTTGAATACCAAGCCAGTATCTTCCCTCTGCTATCCACCATACCACCATAATCTTTTTCTTGGTTAGTTTCTACTTCCTCACAACTCAGAGCTCATCAAAGTTTATGTAAAATTAGGGTTTACTGCCCCAACATGCATCACTTCACATTTAAATTTAACAGTTGGTCACCTCAGTGGTTACCCTAAATCAAGGGTGCCAAACTCACTGTGACACCTTGTCATCACATGACATATTGCTGAACCGGGGAATGGGCACGGCCAGCACGTGATGCATCCGGTCTGCAGCCATGGGTTTGACACACCCCTGCCCTAAATCAAGACTATTTTAATTTAATTTTCCATGAATACGAAAAAAAGCAAAATACAAAACGATTTATGAACATGCATACAATATCAGAGAAGAGAAAGGCACATTAAAAAGAATACTGAGGTGAATAGATTAGAACTATATTCTGTAGGAACTTGAATATTTGCAACGTATACATTTTAAGTATATATAGAACTGGATGTACTATTTATAATGGCATACTGTGGCTTTTTTCTTTGTTTTACTTCTTTCACTTTTAAGACTGTTTATAAACAAGTTAAAAACTCAGTTCCTTGAAAGACTTCAACTCTTTCCTCACATGGAGAAGATGCTGAGAGTTCCTTCACAATAACCCTTTTCAATCAGGCCATGGGCGAGTCATTCAATAACGGATGTGCCTTGGCAATATTACTGTCTCTTACTGCATTGGCAGAGTCCAATGTCAAGATCTGTCATTTAAAAATGACATACTGAGTCCCAAGCATCTTTTACTGGAGGGCATGTCTAAATCCTCTGTGTCTTTCTTACTAGGTTACATACCTCATTTTCAGCTGGCACCGGGTGGGTGGGGCAGACCAAATCCTGGGAGATGACAAAAGCTTCAGTCTCAATTCTCGGAAAGAGGAAGGTAAATCTTAAAGGAGGGAAGGTGAGTTGATCTGTAGCTTTTGTTCACCAGATTTCTTTCCAGCACTCTAAGCTACCATAACTGCAAATCTACAAAAGGTCCTTACTGCAACGTTTGAAAACTGCCACTGCTCCAAAAACAATACAGAGAAGAATGCAAGGAACATGTAGGAACATATTCTTCTCCCTTTTTGGGGGAGAGCTTAGATTTACAGGACCCAGAGCTCCTCTAATCTTGATACCTCTCCTGAAAGCCCAGGAAAATAAAGGCAGCGGCTCAGCTGGTAGCCTTATTTTTCTTCCAACTCCCTACTTCACACTTCTATTGGGACCAGTATGAATAATCTGAAATAGGCAACTATTCTCCTTCAGACTTTTCCCCCCTTCGCATGTGGGAGGAGAATCTGCACTGGGTCACCTGAATCTGCAGCCCCAAATGCTTTTCTCTTTCATTGGAACTGCAGGAAACTTATGAGGTCAACCCAGTTCTCTGTCTGCTCTGCTAGTCTTTCTCTGGCACGGAGAATTGGTGTGGCCACATCATGGCTCAGCCATAGTTCAGTCTCCTTCCTGAACATCAGCAGTGGGATCCTACCGATTCCACTACCAGTTTGGTGATCGTGCGCATGCACACATGCGCACCTAACACATGCACGAGTTTTCCCCACACTAGCTGAAGCCTATAGCACCAATCGAGAGGATAAAGAAGGGAAAAGTGCAAGGGCAGGTAAGAGAGCCTATCCTACAATCTCTTCTTTCTCATCTCAGCTGAGGGTTTTTTTATACTACCGGTTCAGGTGAACCGGTCCAAACCGGTAGCATACCACCACTGCTGAACATCTGACATGGCTGTTGTTGTTGACAACACTTTCAGAAAAAACACAGATTGGAATGTTTGCCTGACTTGGGAAAGCTCCAAGTTTTAAGCAATTAGGTACACCGAGCAAAGGGTCTCAGCCTCTTGTGTGTGGGTTTGATGTATCCCATGTTGGGTTGGTGGTGCAGATGGAAAGGAAATGCTTCGCTCCACACAGTCGTTTTGTATCGGATGCACACAGCTCTGTAGCTGATACAATCTGTAGTTCACATCTCGGAAAACAAGTGTTTTGGCATAAAAAAAGAGTCCGACCCTATGAATAGATAGTTAATACACACAAAGCCTGAATGCATTATTTGTCTTACTTTAGCCAACTCCTAGAGCAATCAGCTTTACAAAGGATTGCTAACAAAATCACAAGAGTTATAATCAGATAGATGCATGGGTAAGTAAAGCTATTTAAACTTGTAACAAAAGCTATTATGATACAAATAGCTGTAACAGAGCAACTCCCACAAAAATCATTCAGTATCACACCCTGATAAGGTTAAGGTACACAGAACCATTGTTGTATGAAAAGAAAAAAAACATTTAAGGTATTCTTTTTGCTTTAAACATGTGGCAGCCAAACAGGTTTAATTACCACACCTTATACTTCAGCCTACTAACTGTTTCAAGAAAACACCCAGGAATAACATTTAGAATATTAGAACATGGGAGAAGAGAGTAGGAAGGGACCTCGGAGGTCATCTAGTCCCTACCACCTTCTCGAGCAGAAAAGTCTATTCCATTTCAGACAAATGGCTGCCCAGTCTCTTCTTGAAAGCCTCCAGTGATGGGGCACCCACAACTTCTGAAGGCAAGCCGTTCCACTGAGTCTAACTTTATAAGGTATCGCTTCCATTAGATTCCTATTAATGGGAGGAGTAAACTTCTGCTAGGCAATGAACATTAATATATAGTAAAAAGATCTGCCTACAGTTAAGATACACAGTCAAATGAAGTAGAAATAAAGCTATCAGTTATTTTAAATGATCTATGAGAGAAATATGCACACCATCAAGCCTCCAGATATGCATTTTTCATTAAGAGATAGATATAAATACATATTAAAATACATCTAGTTTCCCAAAAAAAGAGATACCAGTTTGGTAATTCATTTCTGGACAGACATCACACTGATCTTTTGGCAATGTCCCTAAGAGCTTATGTGACTGATGAATGATATTGCCAATGGAATATTTTAATATGAAGTTACCCTTTGTAACCTGTTCATATGATCCATCAAAAATACTAGCTGCTTTTAAAATTACGTGCCTTCCAACCAGTATTTCTTCTTTAAACACATTGTCTATTTGAGAAGAATTACTTGGGTGAACAAGCAACGATTGCTAAAAATTATGGTGAATGGTCTCACCATTCAATCTGGCCAAATTGTAGCTCAAACCTCCTTCTGGTACTGTATTCCTTTTTAGCGAACTCAGTTGGTCTGCTCCTACTTTTTTTTTTATTTTGGTTTGTTTTGTTTTTTTGAGAGAAAGAAAATAAGCCCACGGGCCTTGCTTCTTGATGTGCACTCACTTTTAGATACTTTTTGAATTAATCCCGTGGGAAGTTCTCAAGCAGAGCCCCTAAAAGGAATGCATTCCACCTGACTTACGTAATAAAACTTTGGGTTTGATGAACACTGAAAAGAGTGAACAAATAAACAATGCACCATGCAATGGTCTTAAGTCAAATTAGAATTGTCAACATTTCATTCTAACCATTAAGAATTCATATAGCTGCCAGTCCTATAAGATACTGGATATGAATATGAAGTTGCTTTTTCTTTGGTCTATTTAACTCAGCATTGCTTACACCAATTGGTAGTTTGTCTATAGTCCTTCAGGGCCCCGTTACATTCAAAATAATGGAGGTCAGGCTTTCGAAATTTTATCTACATCCACACATTTCGCTCCTCAAAACATGACACTAAGAACAGTCAAGACATATTAAAAGGACATTCATTGTAAAGCGAGGATAGAATAAAGCAGCTCAGGCTGCCCTCTTGTGCTAAAATAACAGAAGACATAATTATTCAAGTTGCAAGCTATGCAGCTGTTCTAACAGTCTTTTCTTAAGGTGCCATTTTTCAAAGACCAGTTCAACTTGGTAAATCAAATTCTTACCAGCAGTTTGCAAGAGGCACTTTGCCAAGATTAAGAATGGGTGTTGCACACTCAGCTTGCTTAGCTGAACCAGCAATTGGCAGTGCCAAAAGTGCTTTTTCAGGAGGCAATTGGACTTTCTTGTTTTTACTTTTGAAGACGTTTCGTTTCTCATCCAAGAAGCTTCTTCGGGTCTGGAATAAAGAAGGATGTATGTTCCTTGCAGACAGCTGATAATTTGCATCCTTTTAGCGGGTCGTTGAAGCACTTAGATTTCCAGAGGGAAAGAAAAAAAATATTGCAGACTACAGGAACCAGGAGGACATAGATAAACCTCTTATTTATCTGTGACCTTGAGGACACAGATAAACCTTTTAATGCTTCAATGACCCTTTAAAAGGACGCAAATGACCAGCTGTCTGGAAGTACTATAAATCCTTCCATTTCTCACTGTCAGATCTGAAGAAGCTTCTTGGATGAGAAGCAAAACATCTTCAAAAGAAA